CATAGAGTGAAGTCTGCTGAGTAACCAACAAATCGGCAGGTTTCTCCTCAGGTTTCCACAGAGTGTATAGTGTTCATAGCCCCTAAATAGAATACTGTCAAGCATCAAATCACTGCGACAAAGTCGTTTTTTTTCCCATGATAAGAACTTTACAGTAAAATTTGCAAGGAAATGACCTATTAAAATATGTGCTGTTTTTCATTTGTTCAAGGTGACTGTTCTTGTATTCCAACTCCGACTAAAGTCGAGGAAATTCTTCACTTCATCACAGGTCAGCTTAAAGCGAGGAAATGTGCTGGTTGTACACATCTCATAGGAGTGTTTGTACATATTGTAGTATGTAATAGTCAACATGATGTAGACATAGCAATAATACTTAATAGGTGACAACTCTCTTGATATTAAGGACCCTACACGTCCATCAACCACCCACATTCTGTATGTAGGTGTTTTCAATTATTCTGCTTAATAAGACCTCCTCTCTGGACTGTGTGGGCATGTACAGACTCAGCTTGATTGACGGCTTCCTCACTCTCCTTTTAGTCTTGTTGCACCTGTTTGAGTGCAATAGCTTATACATTTATAGTTCTTAATAGCATATTGGCTCTTGTCACCTCATGTAATTCCAGGTATGTAACCACCCACCTCCAACCTTAAAAAGAACTCTAATTATCCAGGACTACTGAAAACACCTGCATGGTGTGCAGGGCTTATAAAGGAATAGTGTGACATACTGCAAAAATGCACTTATTTGCTTCCTTGCCAAGAGTGAGATCAGAGGATTAATACCACTCTCACTTTTTTTCTGTTAAATGTGAGGCTACAGCAAACAATTAGCTTACCTTTGCAATTAGAGCTAACAAAATCTGCTTACTAGCACCTTTAAAGCCCGAATTAACAGTTATTTCTCATGTGTTAAATGAAACGCAGGTGTAAAAACAACAGCATGTTACTTAGTGAACTTTAGAGGTGTTGACAGGCAGATTTTTTATACCTGTGGGCATAGCCAGGTTACCATCTCCTCGCTGTAGCTTCATAATTAATAGACAGTATGAGAGTGGTATCTACCCCTTCATGTACCTCTCAGCAAGACCATGAACAAGTTTATTTCCCTAAACATCAAATTATTCGGTGAATGTAACATATAACTGTTACACTACAGTAGTACATTCAGTAATAGCAATATCTACCCAACGCTTGCTCTTTAATCAAAGGCTACAATTTCTACAGCTGAATCAAGTTGACACTCACTTAAGCCGAATGTAAATGTATTACTATTTAATTGAGAACACTGCATTACATCTATAATTAATCTCAAAATACATGGGTCCATTTTTGAAACCCACGACGTACATGAAGTGATGGGCTGAAACTTTGGGTAGCCGCAGGTCCAGTTAGTCCAAACTAAAGGATAACAGCAGGTCTGATGTGCTAGATGGTACGAACTGAATATTAATGCAGCGGTCTAGTAGTATCGTCCTTAGGGAGTGAAGCTCTTGGAACTGGGTCTGACTCTGACCTGAATGCCTCTCTTTCGCTCTCTCTCTCTATCTCTCTCTCTCTGTCTGTCTTCCATAATTCATGTTCCATGTGTGTGTTGCTGGTGGTGATTATTTTTAGCTAACCACACTGAATGGCCTGTACACGGACAAATGGATGCGGACAGAGCCAGAGGGCAGGTGTGTGACATACAACAGACCTGTGTGTGGGTGGTGCGTAGTTAGTAGTGTTTCCGTATGTGTCCCCGTGAGTGGTGGTACATAACTGCATGTCTTTGTGCGCGTGTGTGTGAGTGTGCGCGCGCAGGAAGCAGCAGATGCCTGTCTGTTCCGCTTGACGGCAGATGACACTGATAGTGATGGAGGCTGTGGGAGATTTCTACATCCAGAGCTACTGTATAAGAGCTGTGTGCAGAATCCGCCTTTACAGTGCAAAGCATCGGCTGTCACATGTGTTGCACATTGCCAGAGGTGACAATGAATTTTCACATCACACTTAGTAACAGGATCTTGCAATAGCTTTTTGCGGTTTAAAGTCCCAAAGAGTGTTTTTTTTCTTGCCAAAGTTGACAACTGGTTTATTTTGATACTCATCTACTGTGATACTAGTCAAATGCATTGTGACTAGGGTTTAAGTATTAGGGTCCCCGATCTGTACGAATATATAAACTTATAGAACAGCCAGGTACGTTTCAAACATTTGACAAGACATGAAAACTGCAGTGTTTCCCTGTGTTACTGTTGATAGGAGCAACCATCACAAACAGAAGAGTGCAAATTGCAGGATGGGTGGCTGAATGCTTTGTAACAAAGTGGCCTGTGTGCTCTGAAATTTGTATGTAAATCAAAATAATGCCCAAAATAGCAAGGATTGATTGGCGGGCGGTGTAAGACATCTCAAAATCATTTCAAGGCTCCTCGCTGTCAGCTGTTATTCCCCACACTGTGACAATCAATCAAGGCTCAGAGCTCGATGGCCATGATCCTTGACTGTGTGTGTGTGTGTGTGTGTGTGTGTGTGTGTGTGTGTTGGAGTGTGTGTGTTGTATGTCTGGTGTGTGTGTTGTGTAGTGGGGGGGTGTCCCTTCACCTTCACATGTACACTTGTATAGAGTGACTGTGACAGATGTGGCATTAATGATTCAGCCACAGGAAGGTCCATGACACTCAAGTACACTGTAATTGCTCGGTCACATATTGATTATTGGCCAAAAAGGAGTAACATTGCCATCCAGCCACAGCACAGGCACCATAAGCTGAAGAACTATGTGGCATATTATGCAACCCTATGTAGAATATTAATCATGACAGGTGATAGCAAAATGCTCAGCTAGAAGAGCAGAAACATAAAAGGCGGCTGGGTTTGATAAAAGACAGAGAGGAGTATCAGAAGTGAAGCAGTCTGGTGTTGCGAACTCACAGTGTTATTAGAGCTGACAGAGAGGGAGAACCAGAGAGAGTGAAGGGGACGGAGGTTGTGAGAGAGGGGATTAGAGGGATGGAGTGAAAGAAAGAACTGGGGAAAGGCAGGCAAGTGTGAGTAAATGAAGCAGAGGGCAGAGAGGGAAAGAGAGAGGGACAGAGAATGAAGTGGATCTCCTCCTCTCATACAGCTTATCTTGTTTTATAGCACTCCAGCAGAATAGAATTAAAGCAGAGGATTTCTAAAAGAAGCCCACTTGGTGTCTTCCAGTATTTTCTCAAATCAAGAATCTCTCAAATCCCTGTGGATTACTGTAAAATAACATTTTGTTGCCTGGCAATAAAACGTTTTTGTGGTCTGTTTTCTTCTACAGAATAGTTAATACACCCAGTTACTAATACAAGCTGTTAAACAATAAATATGAAGCTGATTTGCTTACAGCTTAATCTGTATGAGGCTATAAACATCTGATGCCATCATACATACATCATTTATAAGACACTATAGAAAAAATTTGGAATAGCCCTGCGCCGGGTAAGACATGCACCATCCGGGCTGCTCCTATCTCCTGCAGAGAGAAAACTCACCTCAACGACCTGGAGAAAAGATCCGAGCGGAGCCGAGGAACTTCACCGCCGTTCACTTGACAATCACGGACAACTAACCGCCTCCGGACCCATCTCCCTCTCCTCACTCTCTTTGTCTATGTTTTTTTTTTTTTTTTTTTTTTTTCTCAATCCCCCTACACTGCAGAGCTCGGTCGGTTTGGTGCTGACAGCCAAACAGAGCTGATTTCTAATTCCCTAAGGAACGGTGAGGATGTGCGATCCGTGCGCCTGGGTTTACTCTGAGTGAAAGATGGGGAGGAGGAGGACGGTGCGCCACTTAACTGGAGTTTGTAATCCGCTGGCTCCATCGGGGGCCGCAGAGAGCGCATCGTACCCTGGGACCATCGGCCTCGGAGCATAGTGTGTCTGCGCCATCTCGTGGTCGTTACGGTGAACTGGCGCTTATAAAACTGATTTTCCGCTTCTCCGCTTTGATTGGCTGCGATGCGCTTCAGCGGTTTTATAATAAGCGATGACCGCACACCTGAGACCACTTGGCAGTTAATTTGACGTTCACACTGTGCCCACCAGATTCACCGGTTCAGACGAATTTCAGACGATCCAAACAGCAATGAAACAACATTTCACTTTTAGCACTGCTATTTTGTTTACATTAGTTTCCAACTGTTTTGTACTAAGGTTTACAGTTGTTCTGTCTTTCTGTCTTAAGTGAAACACGCTATGTGTGTGTGTTTGTGTGGGCTGAACGTCCACTACCTTCTAATATACTCAAAACTAATATATTAAACTGTAATCAATATTTCTAATAAGGCTGTGTTACGTTTTGGATTGATTTACTTTTATAAATTGTGTTAATTTATTATCTTGTCAAACCTGTTCTAATGTCATTGTTGCTCTTACTCTTTATCTCGGCTTCTAATGTAACCTATATATGCATAGAATAGTTCATTTGAAATACATCCAATTCTTACATGGCATTACAGCTTTATCTCTATCCTGTACGCTTAGGCCCAGTGCCATATTATGGACAAATAAAGGCATTGCTTTAGGATTCAACGCATTAAAGAGGATATTTTGTCTGAAACGGATTTGTGTGCCTCTTTTGAAAACCCATTTATCCTGATAATTTATTCAGATAAATCGGCCAGGACAAGCACAGCAAAATCTGTTGTAATAGCGTATAAATGTTATAATAGCCTAGGTTTTGAACTATTCATTATTTATGTATTAGTCCTAATTTACAAAACAAATATTACATACATTGCTAATAAATTATTTTCCCTATAGACCTAGACCTATTTATCACTGATTAATTTTTGATATGAAGTCGTAAACTCTCTTCCAGTACTGGCGTAGTCTGCCGTGATCTGTCACTTTGCGGATGAGATCATTTCATGCCTGCAGCTGAGAGCCCATGCTTTGTGCGGGGCGGACCACGCCCCGGCCCCGGTGTTCGGTGCACCAGGCTAGGTTAGCACACAGCTGCTACATCCGGGCGCTCTGCTCGGTTTACAAGCCCTGCGAAGATGGCGACGTCAGGGAGGAGTGCATTATTATCCTCCACCTCAACTGGACCTAAGAGCACACTGGAGAACTCCAACCCAGAGGAGGATGATGGACAGAACTTATGGTGGGCGATTGGTGATTACAACTTGTTTAATGTGACCGGGGGATTTGTGGGCGCAGAGGGTCCATTGTGCTGGGATGAGGATGGTTTGACAGCTAGCCCGCTAACGAGGCTAGCTAGCATCAGCACCAGACCGCTTTTGCACTGGTGACACAGCAGCACTTTAGCTCGCTTTAGCTGCTCACTATCAACCGTTGTTTGTTATTGAATGAACAAGCCGTGTTTTTAACGGGGCTGCTCTGTCTGCAGGTCCACCATCCTGAGTGAAGTGTCTACCCATTCAAGATCTAAGCTACCGTCTGGGAAAAATGTCCTGGTCATGGGTGGGTATCTGTGTCTGTCTGCAGTCTCCTGGCTAGCCCGGAGGCATCGTTAGCTGGTGATCATCTCATCTTCGTGGACTTAATACTGCTCAATAGCTGAGTTAGCCTGCTCTGGATTGATGGTGCTTTTGTGTTCAAACATGGTAGCTGGTGCGTCTGCTAGCAGAGAGAAAGACAGGTGTATTTTTCTGAGCGCCTACACACACACACACACACAAAGACTCACACACACAAACAAACACACATGCACACACGTACACACCATTATCTTAGGAGAGAGAATCGGGCCGCTTTGAAACACTGCAAGTCATTCTAGCATCCAGTCATGCTAGTAGCAGCTAGGTGGAGATGATGCTGAGGGGACAAGACAAACCATCGGTCTGTTGTTTGAACGGGGCTACGGGGCCATTGAAGCAGAGACGGTGCCTCCCTGTCTCGCTCGGTCCTCATGCTGTCCACACACACACGCACAAACACACGCACACACTGTCTACACATCCGCCTGGGATAATCCGCAGCCTGCTACTCATTCCAGCTAATCAGCGAGTTGGTTACCGATGTATAAAGCCATTTGTCTACTATGCTATCCACGACAACATCAATAAGCTCGTGCTTTATGATGCATACAGTCCCCCTGTCGGTTTAAGTTAATATGGCATAGTTGAAGAATGGATGCTGCCTTGACCTTATCACATACACAGTAACAATGTCATGCTGAGGTTAGCAATAATAATACCAGCAGATACAACACACTGTCAGGAGATATACGGTATATTAGGACTGCTGCTCTTTCATGAAACCTGCATGAAAGATCAAGCTGCATGGCTCTAGTCAAGTGGAGACTGGATTGTTTACAGTGTGTGTGTGTGTGTGTGTGTGTGTGTGTGCACTCATTTGTGTAGAGCTGCAATGATGTGTTGATTAATCGTTTAGTTATACAAAAAATGTATATGCAGATTATTTTGATTAATCATTTAAATCACTTTTTAAGCAAAAATGGTCAAACATGTCCTCGTTCTAGCCTCTCTATTGTTAGGATTTGATGCTTTTTTTTGTCGCATGTGACAGTGAACTAAATGTCTTTGGGTTTTTGACAGTTGGTCAGACCAAACAAGCAATTTAAAATGTCACCTTAGGCTTTAGGAAATTGTGATAGGCAGTTGTCACTATTTTCTGACATTTTATAAAACAAATCACCAATAAATAGATAAACAAATAAATAAATAAGAAAGTAATGTGCAGATTTATCAATAATGAAAATAATCTTAAATTGCAGCCCCAATTTTTTGCAATCCTAATTTTGGATAGTGTGTGGTGCACACTTGTGCACACCTCACCCTATCGATCAACCCTGCATTTATCAACCTTGAGGTTTGTAACCAGTACAGTTCATAGCATGATAGAAGAAAGCAGGGGGTATGGAAAAAGTGTACATCTTAGTAGTGGTGTGATGTGTCGGCTGTCAGTTTGCCACTTAACATGCTTTTGCCAAATTCTTTGCTCATTGTTATTTAAACTGGATTGTAGTTTAATACATATCATTAATCTTTTTTTTTTATCATAGGAGTGCATGTTGACATGGAAAAGGCATGTTTACTGTATATTATTTACTGATTTTATGTGCATATGTGTTCAGGTGAGGTTGGCTCGGGGAAGACCACCTTGGTTGCAAAACTACAGGGGGTTGAAGAGTACATGAAAGGGCGTGGCTTGGAATACCTTTACTTCAGTGTCCATGATGACGACATTGACGGTAACCAACAACCACTTGCAGTTCATAAAATCAATTACTACGTCCATCTACGCTTCTCTTTTTGTCACTGCGAAGTAAACAGACTACCTCTAAAATAATCCTGCAGTATGGTTGTATAGACATGTTTACTTATGTTAATGTATTTTGTGTGTGTGTTTAGACCACACTAGGTGTAATGCCTGGGTGTTAGATGGAGACCTTTACCACAAAGGTCTGCAGGGAGTGGCTGTGCCCGTGGACTCGATCAGCAACACGTTGCTGCTGATAACGGTTGACATGTCGCGACCGTGGAACGCCCTGGACTCCCTCCAGAAGTGGGCTGCCGTCGCTAGGGAACACATCGACAAACTCCGGGTCGCCCCGGAAACGCTGCGGGAGCTGGAGCACAGACGTGAGTCACACTGACAGTCAGACTAAACTAAAGTATACAGCAGTGTGTTTTTTTTTTTTTTTTTTTTTTTTTTTTTTGGACGGAAATACTCCTGCAGGTATGAAAATAAGTTCTTAGATAAGGAGCCTCTTTATCGAAGATCTGGTATAAAGCTTTACAGTGGACCACAGACTAGGGTTTTGACTTAGGAGGCCCAGTTATGAGAATGATAACCCTACATGTTTGAGATGATAACCCCTGCCAGAACTTAATATTTGCATCATTTGTTTTAATTAATGTTGTTCGTGTGTGTGTGTGTGTGTGTGTGTGTGTGTGTGTGTGTGTGTGTGGGTAGTTGTCAAACAGTTCCAGGAGTACACAGAGCCAGGCAGTGGGGAGGATGGCACCCCACAGAGGAGGAGTGAAGAGGAGGAGAGCGTGCTGCTGCCTTTAGGAGACAACACACTCACACACAACCTGGGCATACCAGTTGTGGTGGTCTGCACCAAGGTACACACACTCACTATTGGGCTATTGCTTTTAACATACTTTACTATTAAATATAAGTGTATATGGTCCTGTACTGTATGTGTTCTTTTAGTCTTATGAATATGTTGCATCTACTTACGCGCATTGACCTCTTTTTAACACCTACTCCTACCTCCTCAGTGTGACGCCATCAGCACATTGGAAAAGGAGCACGACTACAGAGACGAACACCTGGACTTCATCCAGTCCCACATCAGGCGTTTCTGTCTGCAGTGTATCCTTCACCAAATCAACATCGTCTCATAGATGTTTCCTTTGGCTGGTGTTAGCTAAAAGCTGCTTGAAATAAAAAAAATTACTGTCACAGAGAAGAATGAATGAAATTAAGCAACTGGACGTATGCCATTTTATTATGGGGCTGCTCATCAATACCACTGACTATGTAATTTCCAGGTCAGATGCAGAAATTTGGATCAGGTGCACTACAAAGTTTTTTGTTCTGAGACCAAAGGCAAAGTCCCCCGCAGTAGTATTATTGCAGTAGTTTGACCACTGTAAGCTGTGTTTGAACTATTGTTGTTAATATTGCTTTGTTGCAAAGAGAGTTTGATAAAGGTCATAGATCACTGAGTCCTGCTTGAAATTGATTTTCAGAATCATTTCTTCAGTCCACGCTGAGTGGAAGCAGTTATTACATTTTCAGTGGTTATTGTTTTTAAAATGAGCCAAGATCACACACTGCCTTAGTTCTTCTGTGTAATTGTAGCAATTAGTCAAAGATACAGTCTCTTTTTCTCTTGTGCCACTCTTAATAAGAATTTTGTTTTTCACCATGGTGTTAGTTTGATGTTTGCTCCTGTATTTAGAAATCGTGGTGTTGAAAATGTCCTTGACAGCTGTGTCAGACGGTGCATCTCTGGTTTACACGTCAGTGAAGGAGATGAAGAACCTGGACATCCTCTACAAATATCTGGTCCACAGACTCTACGGCTTTCCCTTCCACTGCCCCGCACAAGTGGTGGAAAGAGACGCTGTCTTCATGTAAGTGTGTGTGTGTGTGTGTGTGTGTGTGTGTGTGTGTGTGTGCGTGTGCGCGCGTGTGCGTGTGTGCGTGCAAGGATTTGTAGGACCACCTGTATTTTGTTTGTAACCCTCCCTGTCTACCAGTCCATCAGGTTGGGACAATGAGAAAAAGATCGCCATACTTCATGAGAACTTCCAGACAGTAAAAACAGACGACAGCTTTGAGGACGTAGTAGTCAAACCACCAGTCAGAAAGGTACGAGCTCTGACTAAACAACACCTAATTCTAAAAGATTATCTAAGGCAAGCTAAGCTTAGAGTGCAGCAGATTGATTATTTCTGCAATGTCATGTATCTTCGCCTTCTACATAATTTTACAGTTCACAGCCAGTGCACTGAACTTTACCCAACATCCCCGCAGGGATCACAAGAGTTTTATCCAATCTAATTTATTGCTGCTTTAAAGAAAAGTTGGAAGTGAAAAATACTTTTAAAGAAGTATTTATTTTTTTCTTGTCTCTCACCAGATTGTACATGAAAAGGAGATTCAGGCAGAAGATGACCAAGTGTTTCTGGTAAAACTGCAGGTCAGAAAACATTTCAGTTCTGTTAATACCAGTTGGTTTGCTGCTTGTGGGAACTCCAATTAAATCTGACTTGAGGGTCTCGATATGTTAATTAAATACTAATTGGAGCGAATGTGCATATTGTGCTCCAATTTGCAGTCGCTGCTCGCCAAACAGCCCGCTGTGACAGCAGGGCGACCTGTGGTGAGTGCTTCTTTTCTTTTTTTGTTTCTAGTTTTGGCTCATAAGATAAGGTAAACGCTCCCTCCAGGGAACATATGTGTGAAATGAACTGTTGTTTACAGGACACCACTAGCAGAGCACCCACCGGTTCCCCCAGGACGAGTAATCGCTCCGCAGCGGCCAACGTAGCGAACACCATGCCACAGTCGGGTACGTTATATATTTCATCGCTGCATAGACCCACCCATGATCATTCTTCCGTCATTGCACTGCTTTCTCTGTGTGTGTGTGTGTGTGTGTGTGTGTGTGTGTGTGCGCGCGCGCGCACGCGCGCGTGTGTGTGTGTGTGTTTTAACTCTGCTCCTTGTCTGCTGCAGGTCAGACCAATGAAGGTGTGTTGGCCAACTTCTTTAACAGTCTACTGACAAAGAAGGCGGGGACAGGGGGGCCCGGGACGCCAGGTGGTGGTAACAACACTCCAGGAACCGTACGCAAGTCAGGTGAATACACACACATGCACTAAGTATTATATGTTGTTACAGTGCTCTGGTTCTCTAGGGTACAGTAAAAATGATATTTATTCATTACTTTTAAATTATGTTTTAGGATTTAATGCCACTTTCAGTCCCTCTTTTTTGGTTTTCACCTTCCATCTGCCATTATTTTCTCACCTCTGTCCTCTACTCCAGACATGAACATAACACATGGTAAAGAGAGTCATGAAATGGTCTGAGTGCATCTACAAGCCACACAAACACACACCCATCATCATCATCATCATCATAATCATCATCATCTCTATTGCCTGTTTGTAGCTCTGTGACTGTATTTCATTCTTAACTACACTCATAGTCTTTGCTGTGGATTCACACTATTAACATCATTCATAATGTGTGTGTGTGCGCACTAGTCAGAGGATGCTGGCCACGTTAAGGTGTGTGTGAGAGAGATACTCCTCATTTATTATTGCTCGTGTATGTCATTGTTCAAGCATCCCTTTATTTTGGATTCCCACCCCCCACCCCCCCCCCTCCCCTCCCCAGGTTTACTGGGATCAAACCTCCTGTATCACACATTTCTAGGACATGAACTGGCCTGACGACCATAAATGATCTTAAAGTGTTTATATATATATATATTCTGTAGTATGCGGATTATGTAGAAGGAACTGCTGCTTTTTTTAAGTCAGAGAACTGAAGCAGTGGTCCAGGAGATGATCCCATTGCTTTTTAATTATTTTTTGCAACACATGGCTTCATTTTGTTTTCAGGAAAGCAGTCAGTTTTATTGACGTCAAACTTTCAAACTGTAGCTTCTGCTTATGGGGTCATGTAAAACAGGAAAGTCATTCAGGCATATTTATAATGACAAGTTGATTGGATCTAACTCATATGTATCAGACTAAACGTATTTATTTCCTATTAGTGGCTAGATCCACAACCATGTAAAGTTAACCAGGCAAGCTGGGCTTTTTTTTTTTCTTTTCTGTTTTTTACCCACTTTAGTGGGAGAAAAGATGCCAGTTACAGCCAGGATGATTCCTTTAATGGCAGTTTCATCACTAATCTTTCCTCTTTTAATCCCCTGTCTACACTTTGCTCCCCTTTATTTAATTTACTTTTATTTTTTGGCATGTGACATTGCATTTCTTCTGACTAACATCTGTCGCAAGCATTGCACATGATTGTTAATAAGGCTGGGCAATATCGGAAAAAAATGTTTTGACACTTTCAAACATATTGGCTATACACAATATACACCCTCATTTACTGTATGCGCTCTTTTGCAAAATGGCTCAGATATTTTATAGTATTTATCGAACCATATTTTTACCTAGAAGCCTATAAAAAGCTGCATCATATTGTTGCAAATGTCAACCAATGTTTAGGGAAGAGAAAAAAGCTTGAGTCCGAATAATAAGAACATCTTTAAAAAAAGCATAATTGCATTAAATACACAGGATGTTATGCAACGTCGATATAGAACGTGATATAGAAACCTGAATGGAACTTGGTTGCATGCATACAGATGTTACATAAAAATGTTGACAATCAACATATGTCACTCATTGCAATAAGAATAATTTTACATGAAAGTTATACTTGAAAAATACAGTATTGAGTATTATCAAACATCTGTTTGTACGTTAAAAGCATGAGGCAGAAAGGTATGAGATAAGATTTGTATTGCTGCAATACAATATGCACACCAATTGTAGGAGCCATGATGAATTCAGAAAGGAATGGATTTTGTAGTAATATTAATAAGGTTTGTGATGGTTTATATTTTGGTGTTTGTGATATATCATTTATTATGGTGTAATCACAGTGATAATCAAGTGTCACCACTCACACATAGACCCACACATGGATGGTGTCACTCGTGTGGTTTGTGGAGAGAGGACAAGTGAGCCGCTGCACTTTTTTTGTTGACCGCCACTTTTTTTTTATGGCCGTGATTATTTTGATTGTAATTTTTTTTTTTTTTTTTGCAAATCCTTTTGGTAGCACGTCAGACAAAGAAAACCAGGCCTGACCTCAGCTTCTCAGTGACACAATACATTTAAAAAGAAAACAAAAAGAAAACAGTGTAATTAACTTCACACACAAAAACATTTTGATATCAATCCTATAATACTGTATGTAGCAAATATTTAGCTTATATTCACATTTTCACCCAGCTCTTATTTTAACCATGTGTAATTGTACTTATTGCATTGTGTCTTAACCACTCATTGATGCACTGGATAATGATGCACTGGATAAATGCTTGTTGGCCTCTGTGGTAGTTTTCTCCGTGATACCGCACTGATGTTTGTATGTATCTACCCACCTTCGACGCAGGTTCCAAGCTGGGCCTGAGCGACGTACAGGCGGAACTGGACCGCATATCCAGCCGGGAGACTGACTCGGATTTGCCCAATGCCAACGAGACCCCTGCCACCGACGGCCAGGACACATGAACACCACACACCCCCCCCCCCCCCCCCCCAACCTCCTCCACCTCAGTCACCTTCCACCTCCCTTGTCCCTCCTCCCTCCACTCTCAGCACTTTCTCCATCACAAAGCTGTGGGGAGAAGAAGGGAAGTAGGGGAGAAGGAGGGGGAGCGGACACCGTTTTTCCTCCTCATCCTCTTTCACGTTCTCCTCAAGCTGAAGAACACGCCCTCTCTTCCTCTACGCCTTCTCCCACGCCGCATTCTCCTTCCCCTTTCACTCCTTTCCTGGCTGTTACACTGAGGGCGAATAGTTGTCACTGTTACATGACTGTCTGTTACATGAGAGTAAATGGGTATGGGGGACCAATTGGGGGTGTGAAGGTTGGGACGGGAAGAAGTGAGGGGTGGGTCAAAAAGGACTGATTGCAGGAATGAAAGCATTTTATCCATCCATTTATTGTGATGGTACAGTTAGTGTTTTTACTGTAGGAACTGCTGAAGGGCGCATGTTGACAAAACTGCACTTAGGTACTATAGGGATGGTTGTGTGATTGTGTGTTTAATGTATGTGGGGCAGTCATGCTTGGCCAGAGGAAGAGATTGAGAACAAAAAAATATGCCTGAAACAAAATTGCAAACACAGTCTTGTTTTTTTTTTTTTTTTTTAAGATGAAGGGACAAAAAAAACATACCAGTGTGTGTGTGTGTATGTGTGTATGTGTGTGTGTGTGTGTGTGTATGTAAGAGTGAGTGAGTGTGAGAATGCAGCAGATAGAAAATTAAATATGTTACTTCAGCCTAGACCTGTATGTTAAGATGTTTGGCTGTTTGCATTTCCAGCAAGAGGCAAAAAAACATTACTATGCTCTTACACTACAAGCTCTTAAAACAATACATACACTATTATTACAGCAGCCCTGTCTGCTACACCTCACAAACTAAGCCTGACAAAAAAAATAAAAAATACAAAATGACAGTTCACACTCGAGCACTGGTCCTGTGTAGACGACACCTAAGGTCCATCATGGCACCAAGTTCTACAATTGGCCAAAACTTCCCCTCGTATTACATACTGCTCAAACCTGTAGATAACAGCCACTGCACTGAAAGGGGAGGGTGGTAGAGAGTGGGTGGGTAGCTGAGCTTTACTTGTACAGAAAGAAGCACTAGTGATTCAGTTCCATAGTTACTGCGGGCAGGGTGGTGGGTGGGCAAAGGGGTCAGAACATGGGAGGGTCACATCAAGAATGTACAGTCATTGTCTCGCTGATTGGTCCTGTTATTTCAGAGCTCTGTGTTGGCGTTTGTATAATCAGATCTGTTAATCAGTCAAATAAAAGGTGTATTTATTCGGATTCATCCAGCTGGCTTCTCTTGGTTTCTTTACTGTGGTCATTTGTCTTCTCCTCGCTCTATATAAGAAGTGATATTGTCAAATGTTATGACATCAGAAACAGGTTGCAGCTGAGGATCCTTCAGCTAGATGACTTGGGGTTGAGTCCTTGTTTTTAAGCATCCACCTGCTGAAGTGCCCTTGTGCAAGAGCCTGAATAAACATAAAGATAACTGGGAGTTATCTGCTTTCAAAGGATTAAAATATTTTTGGAGCATCTGATGCGCACAATTTATCCAAAGTGCAAACAGCAGATGATGGACATAAGTGGTTTTAATGACAGAAAGCAGATGGTTGGCAGACAATGTGCTGTGAGTACAGTGCTCCTCCTCGGGCGGAACAAAACGCTAATAGAAGATAAGATACTAAATATCATTGCGGTACAAAGTAACAGAAAAAAACAAAATGGTGTGCCTTTTTTTGTTGTCGGTGAAGATTCTCACTCATCCAGGTCATGGTTATCCAGGAGGGGTTGAATCGAGGGTAACTGGACCTGGTTGTAGATACTTGAAGATGCTTTGCCTCTCATCTCTGACCAGGATACAATAAACACAAATCCCGGGTCTGATGCTACATGTACCAGGTTTTTTAAAACAATATCATGAGATTAAGAACTAAAAATTGCTCTTCGCCTTTTGCAAATTTCTAAGTTATCTGAAGAGTATTAGGTTGTGTTTGATATGTCCCGCAGATGCAGAGTTTCCCTTTCAAACATATCCAGCTGTTAAGATGCTGCAGATGATGATGTAGCTCAGCGCTGCAGGTTCAAGCGTCCTGCTTGAGTTGAGCAGAGGAGAAGTGGAGGAGAAAATGGCGCCGCTGTCATTCCTCAGCACCAGCACGTTACAGATGTTCCCCTCCCAGCAGGACGAGATGACATTTAAATGTTGAGAAGATGTCCTGATTGTATAAAGGTGTGCTTTTTTCTGCCTGTAAGCTTGCCAAACTCTTTATTACAGCTTACACAGAGGAGAACAAAAACACATTTCACATGAATACTTAAAAATTAGAATTCAGGTAATGATATGTAAAGTTGAACTGATTAAGACTTTGTCCACTTTGTGGCAGCAGGACAAGCTGAAAACACCTTATATTATCACCTAGAAAGAAGGCTAACATGCTGCAGCTACCTGCAGTGCTGCATTGGCATTTATTTGGAGTGTGTTTGAATGCAAGTCCGATATTCATTTTCCTTTTGCTTTCATTTATACCATCTCCTGAGAAAAATATCCGGCTCTTTAGATGCTATTAGTTCAACTTTCCAGCAGTCAGTCTGGGCATGTTATGTATGGTGGGATTCTCAAAGCTTGTTTGCTGAAAACAGCTGCCTGCTGCTGGAAACAGGGTTGCTGAGAGGAGAATTCAGTGATTTGGGGTGACTCTGGCTTTGTCACTATGGACAACAGTACAATATGAAAAGTGACGCTCATGGTATAAACAACGCTGAATAATGTCCTTACTGTGAAACTGCATTTCAAAACATTTATCTGGTGATCACAAACGTGACTGGAAATGAATGATAATGGTGCTCTGTGTATGCTGGATGTGGAAGTATTGTGTGCTGGCATGTTTCATTCACCATAAAAGTTTATAAGCAAAACACATTTTAGTAGAGTGGGACTAAATAAGACAATACCAGGGAACTAAGCAATTTACCAGACGTGGCATGTGATATAATACCTGATCATAATTTTCCATTTCCTGCAGTAACAATATGCTCCCCAATGACACTTTGGACTTCGACCTTCTCTTGTCTGTAACACGTGTCAGACACATGAACATGCACTACACTGCATGACACTTTTCAGCTTTGATTGATTTCATTTAAATTTTTATCAATACATTTCCTTTTCAGATTGAGCTTTCCTATCAATTAACTGTAATCATTGCTATGCTAAGAAGCTGAAGTAGATGCTCAAGTACATATAAGTGCATATAAGTGAATGTCAGATATCAGACTGTGGTTATACTGGCATGTGTGTACTGCAGTTAGATTACAGCTATCTTATGAATAATTTATCACAACAGATATGCATACATTTGTAATTTTATACAATTTTAAGAATAAACATTCATTGTTTTGAAGCATTTCAAAGCCTTTTATTGCACAAAGTAGATTATGTACAGCCTGAGATTTACTGTCAGCTTTCCATTATGTAGTGGAGGATTTAACTCACAGTCAGGTCACCACAAAAACAGCTATAGAGACAAATGATCAAATGCCATTTAAACCACAGCACAGCATCATGTTATTGTGGCCATAACAAAACATGGCCACTGTATGTGCCACGGGATCAATTATGGGTTTCTATAGAAAACTGGAATTCAGCCATAATATACACTTTTATCAGTCAGAATAGGAATAGGAAGTCTCTGCAGGTTATATATATATATATCTTCTTCCTTTAACCACTGCAGCTAATCATTTGCAAAATAAGTCCAAATTCAACTGTCCAGTTTGTGAAAAGTGGATGAGAGAGATGGTTGACAAGCAACCCTCCTGTTTGCCAAATGATGAGTTAATTGATTATGATGAATGAATGATGATATAGGCTAGTTCTGTTGGGGGACATGTTTTGTGTTCTGGGATAACTGCATGTTAATTAAACCCCTCATATCACAGCAGCTCATGAATCACATTCCTTTCTAATGAATGCACCTCGCCCTCCTCACCACCAGAGCAGCAAGTATCAAACATCTTTCGTTTACGTCGGTGAAAAATCTAAAAACTGAGATGGTCGACTGCTCTTGAGATAGAAGCACATCAATATCTGGCTATAATTGTAAAATAATAGTTTCAATGCTAAAACTTTGTTTAAAATGGCGCCCTATTTTTCCTAGTGCGGCAGAATACTGTATTTTCTCCTTTCGCCATCTTGATGTTCGATCGCATAGGCGGAAGCAACATCTTCGGCGGAGCAACAGCGGGTGTGGTTCGGACTCTTACGGGTGGTTCACCTAGCAGCCCTTTTCCTATTTTCAGCTAAGAGAAAGGAGAAAATTTTCCTGACAAGAACCACGGAGGAGCGGCTCGACTCTGGTAAGGATAGTATGTTTACTACGGCGATTATACAACGTATTTACAGCGCGGCAATGTATATTTCACCAAAGAAAATCATCTTTGCCGAGGGAGGGGGCTCCGGTGGGGTTTTCTGATTTGGCTGGCAGTACAGCAGGTTTTGTACGGTGGCGCTTGGATCTACTTTTCATACGTCCTGGCTAGCTAAGCTAATCAAACCAGAATTAAACATTTGGAGGGTTTACTTGTAAGTCACCGTTCCGATAATGAACTGATTTGTAACAGTAACGACGTCTAATATTGGTTGCGTCTCGGGACAAGTCTTACGCATTTGGACCTGGTGAGTGACGCTCTAAACAGTGTTTGTTTATGTTAGCTAGTTAGCTAACTAGCGGAGGGGTTAGCTACGCACGTTATGTTAGCTTAGCGAGCTTTCAAGGTAAGCTAGCCAACCTGTTAGCTAGCAGTGGTGGCTAATACATCGTAGCGCCTCGGTCTTGAATTATATGTCAATGCCATTTTGTTGGTGATTGATGTAACCTTTGCGGTTAGCTGGGGTTTTGGGTTAGTTTTGATTATGCTGCTTGTTAGGCTCGTAGTTAGACCCACCATGAG